CATCAGCTTCACGTTGCCCATGCGCCGCATTGCTGCTCAGCTGAGCCTTGTAAAGTGGAGCTCAAAGTTAAAATTAAATATTAAAATAATTAACAGCTTGTTTCATTACATCTATATTTGAATGCGGAATTTTTTTTACATTTCCGTTGAATGAACAGTTTAATGACTCACTCAAAAACAGTCCCTTGCCGTAACAATGTAACTGGAATGAGCGACAGCCTGTCTATAACACACAGAGACGAGCAATGCCGAGTGGTAAAATATAAGCAGAAAGCCTTTAGTAAAGTGAGATTCGAGGATCGAAACTAACTGTTATATAACAATGGCCTAAAAAGCTTATTGTCAGGTTTATGTTCAGTTATTATATTATGTGGACCCTTATTTTGACATTGCATCTTCTGTTTACTCCACTTCGTTTCAATGCACTTTTTAGTTTCGGTTTCATTACTGAAGATGTAGGCTACTCGTCTTCGTGCCTGCTGACCACAGCGTAACACTTATTTATTTAGCAATAAATAAAGATAATACTGCATATCGCGCTGTTGAGTCACTCAAAATTACAACAATGGAAATTCCTTCACCACGACAGCCCTACTTGTTTCTTATTGGCTAGACAGTGACGTACCGGTAATCACAATCTTGCTCATCAAACATGTTTGATATGATCGGGGCGAGCCCGATTTGTGTGAGAGCAGATCGGGAGGTGCAAGATTCGATCTGTGAAAGCCTCACATTACCAGATAATCTGCGCCGAACATCGGAACCGATCGAGGTAATCAACAAGATTTTTTTCTCCGATTCTCGTGAGGGGAAAATCGGGCATAAATCGGCCTAAAACTCCTGCAGGGCTTAAAGTATTTCGGCCGGGGGCCGGATTTCCGGCTTGAGGGAAGGTCCGGCCTAGCCTGGCTGCACCCTCCTACGCACTTCCGCTCAATTTCATTTTCCTTCAGTCCTACGTCTGGGATTCTGCTGTAGACTTTGGTTTTCTCCGATCAATTTTTTGTAGGGCCAATTAGCGAACAGACGGAGTGGCTGAGAACGATGACGTCGTGCGTTATTTTGAGTTGTAGTTCAGTAATGGCAGCGGAGAAAGATGCGAGCGAAGCCATTCGGTCCGTTGTAGCAACGCTGCCGAATATTAAGAAGTTAAAGCCGGAGCATGAACAATCTTTGCTTAGTTTTGTTTTGGCCAATCATTATTAACCTTAATTGAGTTAAATAAAATCTTAAATGGAAGTAAAGAGTAGTGAGAGAATAAGACGCGTGAGTTTAATCTAATTTAATTTATAATTTATGCAGTGCAGACTATTTTATAACCCTAAAATTGTGGGGGAAAGAATTTTCATCGAGACATCATTAGCTATATTAATATCAGTGATACTGGCCTTCATTAATAAAAAGATGCCATAAATGGTTCCATTTGAAGATAAGTCAGTCTGTGCAGTCAATTTTTTCACTTTAAGCCCTGCTCCTGTAGAGTGACCCATATATTTCTGGTCTTGGAGTCTCTTATAATGAGCTGATGAGTTGAGTCAGGTGTGTTTGATTAGTAAGAGTTTGATAATGTGTAGTGTTTGTGTGCCTCAAGGAACAGGGTTGGGAAATACTGGTTAATGAGATATGCTAGTCTTGCATCCCAGATATTTCTCTCATCATTTACTGACTTTCTTCAGATGAGCACATGGTGATTTTTTTTATAACAATAATCTGTGTGTCCATATAATGCAAGTGCAAGTTCAGGGGTGTCAATTCAACAAGTCAAGGTATGGCGAATTTAGATGAAGTCATCAATCCAACAATATTATGTGACAGTAGGAATAGCGAGCAAAGAAGTCAAGACGGTACAGACAGAAGGCTGTTCTAATTTTTACGTCATCTATCTTATCCGAGCATTTGAATGCACAAATATTTTCATAACAGTATTAGCCGCCGGGAATGAAGAAAGTGATCAGCATGATTGAAAAGTGCTGCTTTGTTTATGGTTTATATATCTGCAGTCCTATTTTCATTTTCTTTCATTTTCAATTTTTGAATGACAAATATAGACTATTGATACCTGTGAATATAGACAGTTATTTCCTTACACACAGGCGCAGAACGCACACGCTAGTTTGCAGTCGCCTATTGGTATGTTCAAATGCAATTTTTTGCCCCAGACGCAGCCGACGCAAGGCGACAACCAGAGATGGAAAGAGTACTAAAAATTTGTACTTAAGTACATTGCTGAAATAATACTCAATAACAAGTAAAATCACTGGTGTCAAAAAAGTACAAAGTACTCTTCTCAAAAACTACTCGCTGGTGATATTTAATGAATTATCAATAAATATTTCATCAAATCATAGATCTATGTAGAAAATGGCTACTTTCAACAAAACACACTTTTACCTTATTGACGAAGTACATTAAATAGTCACGATTGACTAATTAAATGCTTACGATACTGGAATTACTAACTTCAATACGATACCATGAAAAATATCAATATTTAGTATTTAAAACGCCACATACTGTATACTGCCATATATATATATATATATATATATATTTTTTTTTTTTATTTATATCTCAATTTTTGTTTTTCGAATTCAATCCAATTGAATAGAGCGGTTTAATTCAAGTCTTCTGAAGAGACACGTCCGCTTTATACAGTACTATGAACAGATTTTAATTTAGGCTTTTGTTTACATATTTTTAAGCATTGATCAATTAACCATTACAATCTCACTTAGTCATTTGCTCACTCTGTGTATTTGTTTCTTTACAATAGGGTAACTTTGTTGCCATAGCACAAGGAAGCTTGATTTCGAACTGAATTGAATTTACAAAAAAGACTAAGTAATAAAATAAGAACAAATAAAACTAATTACCTCAATTCAGTTGTGGTATTCGAAATGACAACGCTGAATATCAGAGGGGTTTGACCTGTAATGTTTTTACAATGTAGTGATGCAGTTAAACAGACTAGATTATTTATACAAATCATACAAATGCCCCAGTCCAAAACATTTCTAACTTTTACAATGTAAAGAAATTAAAGATCCACCTTTGATTGTTGAAAGACATTTTGGTGCATTTCACTTACAGCCAATAAGATTTCCTGTAGCATTTTCATCGGCCAAGTGTTATTAGTTGATAACATTTGACAACGTTTAATCCAGGAGCAAAGAGAATTAAAGGGATTGTTTTAAACCAAAAGTTTAAATTTGCTGTTGATCAACTCCAGATGCATTCCAGATGTATGCAACTTTTTTTCTTCAGTAGAACAGTAAAGAAGATTTTTAGCTGAAACTGGTCCTTGGTGATTCACATAATGCAAGTCAACGTCTGCCAAGCCCAAATTCAACTGAAAATGCTACTTTTAATGACTTCTGTTGTCTCAAAATTATTCAACCCCCTGAATAGAATTCCTCACAACAGCACAAATCTGCAAAACTGGTGTTGTCTCAAGCACACCTGATGCAACTAATCAAGGGCTTCGTTAGTTGCACCAGGTGTGCTTGAGCTAGAACACATGAAATATCTGAAATGACTAGGTTTGTTGAGTGTCAAAAGAATGGTCCAAAAAGTTAAGAGAAGATATCATCACCCTTCACAAACAAGGAACAGGATACAAAAAGACAGTAAAGGCACTAAATGTTCCTAGAGACACCGTTGGAAGCATAGTTCGCAAGTTTATTAAAGGAACAGTGGTTAACCTACCTGGACGGGGCATAAAAAGGAAGCTTTCAACAGGCTGCAACAAGATTTCTGAGAAGGCAGTTTAAAAAAAAAAAAAACTTGAGTGACTGCAAAAGACCTGCAAGACTTGGTGGCAACAGGCACAGAGGTTTCAGCTTGCACAGTTAGGCGCATACTAAACGCAATAAGCCACAGAAGTTTTAGGATTCTGTTCTGTGGAGCAATGAAACAAAAACGATGGAACTTTTCGGCCCTATGGGTCAGTGGTATGTCTGGAGGAAGGAGAATGAAGCATATGCTGAAATGGAAACTCTGCCTACAGTTAAGCATGGTGGAGCTCGGTGATGCTCTGGGGCTGCTTCGCATCCTCTAGCGCTGGAAACCTGCAGTATGTAGATTTTTTACTTTTTTGTATATCAGGAAATCCTAGGAGAAAACATCATGCCGTCAAGTGAGGAAGCTGAAGCTTGGGCGTTATTGGACCTTCCAACAGGACAATGATCCAACCTCAAATTCCACCAAGCCTTGGTTGTAGAAATAGTCTTGGAAGATTCTACATTGGTCATCACAGTCATGACTTGAACCCAATAGAAAATCTCTGGTGGGATTTGAAGAAGGTGGTTCTATCATGCAAATCCAAGAATATTACTGAACTGGAGGCCATTGCTCATGAGGAATGGGCTAAGATTCCTCAGAAACACAGCAAGAAGCTGGTGTCTGGTTATACATCTCATTTGCAGCAGGTCATAACAGCAAAAGGGTGTTTTACTAAGTGTATGTGCATACAACAGCAACTGAATGCTTCCCCAGATAGTCGTGCAGTGTGAAAAGAACAATGTTATTAAATGTTGTCTTTTGTTGGACAAGAGGTTATTAAATGCTTCTCATGCTTGGAAAGCTGTTTGACGCGTGTTGCTTTTTCAATTGCACGTTATAAGTGATTCAAACTCACAGTGCTTTCAGATGGAGCAGCGTTTACAGAGCCGTACATAAATGACGCATACAAAATAATCGCAGCCTTTGCGATTTCAAAATCGCGATAAGCCATCTCGATTTAAGTGCGATTACATGGAAATTGCGATTAATCATGCAGTTAATCGTTTCTACTGGTATATCGCCTACCCCTATACATTTAGCACGGCATGAGGATGAGTAAATGATGAGAGAATTTTTGTGTTTGGTTGGAGTCCCATAAACTTGTCATATTTAAGTACATATTGAACATAAGTAAAATGTAAATCTTGAATACTGAAAATCTAACATTTTTGTTACTTAAAGAATTTGTTTATCTTTTTTTCCAAATTAAATTTGAACAGCGGATGGAATTCCCAGGTCTTGTCATGATGTTTTTACCCGTGGAACGAAAGTTTTTGATGGTAGAAACTATAAGGGAAGGTAAATGAAAGTATAAATTTAAAAGTCATTTATTTGGTTTGAGAAAATTGATCTGCTATGCCTTTTAATTTAGTTTTGTAACAAACCTCCATGCTTTTTTTCCTTTTCTTAAAAGGTTTTCAAAAGAAGAAATCAAAGCATTGCTCAAGTATCATACATTACATGGCAGTAACTGGCGAAAGATTTCTGAGCTGACTGGTCGAAGTTCTTTTTCTCTTGAGAAACGGTTTTCCCAAATTAGTTATGGTAAGTCTAATTCAGCCAAGCCTCTTTTAAAAATGTCCAAATATGTACATTTCAGTTTTAGTGACTGTTGGTCATTTTGTATATCATCTCATCACACAGCTAAAAAAAGGGGACTGTGGTCTGTGAAGGAGGAGCAGAGACTTTTGAGGGCTGTGCGAGACCATATTGTAACAGTGCTGAAATCTGAGTCGCCAAATAACACAACACCAAAACGAGTCAGTAGAGAAATGCTCTACCAAAAATTACCTTGGTTCAATATTGCACTGAAGGTTAAAACTCGATGTTGGAGCAAATGCAGAGAGAAATGGTGAGAGTCATTTAAAACACTTTTATATTAAATGGTGGTACATTTTAAGTTATAAGTTATTCTCTATTTGTATAATCAACATTGTTGAATTTTCACCTTCACCCCTAAGGTTGAACATACTCGCTGTACGGATGTCCTCAGGGACTTTATGTAGGGGAAGGAAAGCTCAGGAGGCCAAAATCAGACTCATTAAAGCGTAAGAGATCTTGTTTTTGCATGCTTGCTTAGCTTTTGTTATCCTGTTTTTCTTTACCTTGCTTTTACAAAAAAAAAATCATCTATTTACACAGAATGTATCAAACGCAAGTGGAGGATGTTACGGATGTCGACTGGGATGATCTCACGGCTGTATTCGGGTGAGGATTATTTGCAGTTGGGGTGGGTGAAATGGCAAAAACATATAACAAATGTTTTTTCATGCAGGATCATGATCTTATCACGGTTATTTTTCATATTGGTTTGCAAGACTAATTGTTAAGTTACTTAGCAGTACCGCCTAATTTCCCTATTTAAATAATAGAACCCTACAAGGTAGCAAAACATAAATAAAACAGAATGACAGACCATTTAGGCAAAAGTAAGGGTTGGGCAATATGACCAAAATCTTATTTTGTGATTCATCTTTTATTTATCAACAATAGGAACAAAAACAATCAGTAAAGGAATTTAAAACCGGTAAAAAAAATAAAAAAAAGATTAAAAAAATTCAGGTACAGTATGTATTTTGAAGTAAGAAATGCAGTATGTATTTCAAGTAAGAGATTGAATAAGCAATTGTAAAAATAAAACAGTTTTTACTGTATGAATGATATATACATTGATTCTTATTCCAAGAGTAAAAAGTGGTTTTTCGGTTTCTTTTGGTGTTTGATTAACAATAATGACACAGACAGCAGCAGGTTTATTAAGCTTCTGTCACTTCAAGAGATGCATAGATATATTTGATATAATTTGTTTTTGTTTTGTATTTGACAGTTTAAGTGCAATCAGTGCGAGTGCGAGTTTCGGCTTTGTGTTCACGCACAGAACTTTCGTGATGATAAAGAACTCTGAATTACACAGAAAAATTGGTCTATTAGTAAATTCTGTTGTCTTTACCAATCCTTTTTGCATTAAATACAAAGATGACAGTTCAAAAATGGGGAGAAGAACTTTTTTCATGTTTGTTTTTTTTTCTTTTTTTCTGCAAGTTGGCATGCCTGTATCTCAACTAAGAAGTACCATATTAAAGATATCTCAATATCCTTTTAGATAGAACTGCAACTGTTAATATTATGCTACAGTCCACATTCTATCAATCTCTCTGTAAAGGCAGATCGAGGAGAGATTTTAATCGTTCACAATCTATTATCATGTTGCACACCGTAACTCCAATGTGACTAAATGAATAACATCGTACAAAAACATTTATGTACCCTTTTTTTGCTCAAACACCCAATTAATCTACTATATATATAAAATTTGCCCCCAAAAAGTATTTTGACACTGTATTTCATTTTATTATTTGAAAGAAAAATGTCAATGAGGCAAATTTTCTGGGACTACACAAAGCACATAATTACCTGTTGAGGCAAGTGCTGTTCACTTTGATTGGTGGTTTGTTTTTTAAATTTTAGTTTTAAAATTTTTAAATTAAGGCTGCGTTCAGACTGTCAGTCCAAATCCTTTTTTTTGTGCATATCCGATTAGCCTGGCTAACGTCAGACCACGTCTCATTGAGATTGAGACGTGGTCTGGGAACCACATGTTCATTTTCTCGTATTTGAGGCATGGTTTACGAATGCCCAGAGCCGTTTATTGGGTGCTACGAATGTCTATCAAATGCGCCTGTACGTAGCTCATAGCCAATCGTTTCAATTATACCAGATGACATATGTAGAGCGAAAGAAATTAGACGAGGAAGAAGACGATGGGTCAGAGATTTATGTGTACACGATGGCGTATGTATCTAAGGCTGCATCGAAAGGTAACTTCGCGTCTGCTGCCATGTTTGATCCATAGGCAGGGTTGGGAGTAACGCGTTACAAAAGTAATGCATTACAGTAACATATTACTTTTTGCTGTAACGCAGTAGTGTAAGGCATTACTAATAAATTTTCAGTAATATTTTACTATATTACATGTTCAGTTATGCTTGCGTTACAACACACTTTTAGTTTTAATTGTAAAAAAACAACAACAAAAAAACACCAAGACCGCGAGACAAAACGAATGAAAAATGCAAGTAGGCTAAGTTACCTGTTCGTGGTCAGTCAATAATATGTGGTGTCCAAGTTTGTAAATAAAGACTAAATGGCAGCGTCTGATATATTTTTTATAGCGATTTATTTTTAACAGGAGTGCCGTGAGGCATGATTTCGTCCTCTGTGCTCGCGCTGGCCAGTGGAAAAGCGGCTAATGGGTGAAAAAGAAGACCGTACATTCGCGAGATGGACGTATGCGCATTAGGCTACTCCATTTGTTCTGTGTTTTCTTTCTAAACAGTTACTGTAGGCTATGTTTAGGTGGTATTTTTCTTGTTTTCATCACGCAATCATTTTTGATGCGGTGGTGACGCGTTCACGTAACATGATGTAAGGAAAGCAACTAAAAGCTGTCACAAAGAACCGGCAAAAGCAATGATTATGAATATGTCAAATATAGCAAGGAGACATTTTAATTGTTTATTAATGAAGTTGAAGTTCTTCGCAGTAGTGAATGCGCCAGAGAGAAATGCACATTTCATACAGATAAGCAGGGAGCAGTCCGTTTTCTTTCGTTTTGAATCGTTCTGTTTACAAGTAGACATTTCAATATATATATATATTTTTCAGGTCTGTGAAGTAGGCTACCTTATAGCCTACGCTGAGTTTCGGTTAATTTATGAGACGCGTTCCAGTTCACGCGCAGGCGCCTCCATGTCGTGATTATCTATTGTCTGCTATATTTACTACTTATTTATTAAATCCAGGCAATTGATTGATGAAACATTGAATAAAATTAAGATACAATTAGTACAAATCGAAATTCACTTTAAAGAAATTTGTGTCTTCTTTTTGAGGTCTCTGTGAAAGTTTTAAAACAGTCTTTTAGTGCCGCTTCAGAGCAGTCGCGGTCAATTGAGCGGTCAATATTAAATGCATTTTCTGAGAATTTATATTTCAAGTTTTGACTGCAAATGTCACGTCCAAAACGCTGGAATTCCCCAATTTTAAATAATTTATCCTCAACTAGTTTTGTGGTGTAGGTCTACTTATTTTATAATGTTAACTTCAAAATTCAAATAATACTAATAGTAATTTAAAGATGTGGTAGCATTGGATCTGGACGGGAAGGATAACTCTTGGAGTTGGAAGGGGTGTGTCGCGATTCTGCAGGTAAAAAAAATCACATGAAACGCGATTTTTGCAAAGCCATTTTGAGCTACATTCTTATGTGGTGTGAAATTCTATTCAAATCCCATTTCTGGAAATCCGTTTCAGTCTGACTGCTCTGATCGGATTTCGTGTGGTTTATGCGACTTTCTCACGCCACTTAAAACATAAACGCCAGATGTTGTTATAGGAAACATGCTGAAAGTCACCGCAGAAACAAGGTTGTGTTGCCAGACGAGCAGAAAATATAATGAAGACATGTTTTGAAACCAGTGGAGATGACAGCTAGGAATAAAGTCATTCATACCTTTCTGCCGCTGCCTCAAAAGACGCAGTAGTCCAGCACAGTGGCTACACATTGTCATGTTGTAAATAAGAAAGCATCTGTATAGCAAAGCCCTCCGTGTTGCGGACGTGTTGTTTTCGGCGTATACCGACCAACGCAATGTCATTTCCATAGAAACCAATGCAGAAGACTTTGACACCACAATGCAGAGTTAACTATGTAAAAATGGTCCCACCAGGTTGGCTATAAAAAAATGGCACTTTAAATGTGTAGAAGTTGCTACCTCACTACCTTCAACTGTGTACTAAAGTCCACTACCATTTTGGCTGTTTTGACATGACGTCATGACAGTGCAAGACTTGAAATGTTTTTCTAGTTGGAAATTCATAATTATGGTAATTCTGACATATGAATACAGCCTAATACCACCACCTGTAAATAACAGATGCAGTGAATACAAAGGACAGCTTTGTTATATAACATCAGTGATGACTTAATTAAACAAACCTAGAAGATCGTAATTATGGATTTAACAGTGTAATATTTATGTATATTTTTATTTATGAAAAAGCATGAATCAATACGAGGTCTTATATTTGACATTTTTCATTTATTTATTTTAGAATTTATATTTGTAGTGTGGTATAACTATGATATGAGAACCAATTCAATGAAACCCCAGATTAACTGAAACGTTGGTGTTTGAACATTGGAAGCATTTCAATCAAACAGAGATAAGTAAGGTGAGATTGCTAGATCCAGAATTAAGAGAATATCCCTAAGGAGTTAATTAAGTTGGGGTAAATGGTATCTGAGCGCAATAACAAACAGGTTATATTATTCAGGTTCCCAGTAGAGATGCGCGGATGGGCTATTATTTCATCCGCAACCGCATCACAAAACTCATCATCCGTTCGCCATCCATCCGCACCAACGTTTTTGACCAATTTTCAAAACCGCACCCGCCCGCCATCCGCTGATTGGGCGATACAAGGCGCTGCTGATGACAGCCGCGAGACTAGAAAGCTCTCAGAATATCAGCAGTGAACTACGTCTCCGATCGGCGCGCAGGGACAAAAATAAATAAATAGCCTAAATTAAACGCACTTCGGCAAACCTGACCTTATCTGCTACTGTACAATATTTCCATTGTAGCCTAATAGAAAACGCATTTTGGCACATAATTTCAACATGCTGCTATTGTATGTGCCAACAATGTTACGTGACAGTTCTCCATTACGGACGCGAACACTCAGAAAGCGGCACTAAAAGACTTTCAAACTTTCACAGAGGCCTCAAAAAAGCACAAAGCCTTTCTTTAAAGCGAATTTAGTTTTGTATTAATTGTATCTTCATTTTAATCTATGTTTCATTAACCAATTTCCTGGATTTAATAAAATAGGCTAAAAAGTCTATCTTGATTGTGTAGGGTATTTTTCATTATAAAATATTAGGCTGTGTATACCGACATGGATCAATTATTAATATTAGATTTCATCTGTCTTTTGTAGACATAGCTGATGGCGCACCAACGAAAAAGTCTAGGAGTGACTTCGGCGTTTCTTTAATATCGAGGCTCTATAGTTTATTATATGATTGTTAGGCCTGTTGATGGTATAAAATGAATTGCACTGTGCCTGAAAAAGACGCGCTATCCGCTCTCTTCCCGTGCATTCAAAATTAACGGGAGTCTTCAGAACAGGCTCGTCCAGCGTCAACAGCACCGAACTTAGCTCCAATGTCAATCAACGTCTGGGCCACTTGGTGGAATCCTTTACCAGAAACAATATCGAACGGGCGGATATCAAGAGAGCGCACAACTTATTCCAGGCAACACTTTTCTGACCTTCTATTTCCTTTGTTTTTAATTCTCCTTTTTTGAGTTTGTCACGTAATTACCTCCTTCGCCGGCGTTGCCATCTCTGATAACAAGCAGTCTCTGCATAGACTCGACTAGCTGATGAAAATTTGACTATTTCAAAGTGTGCTCGATTTTTTTTTTTTTTTTTTTTGGATGTAGGTATGTAGTCAGATAACAATATTTAACAATATATATTTTTTCATTTGATTGGTTTAACCGCCCGCCACCCACCCGAATTTAATTTAAAAAAAAATTTCGTCCCGTCATCTGCCCGATCCGCGGTTTGTCCGCGGCTGTAACCGCCAACCGCGCATCTCTAGTTCCCAGCAAGTAAATGGAATAATGCACCTGCTTGTTCAAGCATGAGGATGTAACCAAGCTTGATGTCACGTCTTTGTCTCATAGGGATGTTCCTCCAGCACATGTGCAAGCAAAGTGGCACCAGCTTAAAGTTTGCTATGTGCCAGATTGGAAGGCCAAGTGTTTTGGAGGTAAGTGCTTTAATTTATTCCACATTATTGTTGAATTTAGGTTTTTGCTTTATATATCTTCTGTTTTCCACAGTGTACTCCAAAGATGGCTTCCTAAAAATAGTTTTTGAGACAATTTAAACAATTTACTTGGTTTACTTTACAGTTTTTAAAGACTCGAATCTAGGCCAGCCAGAGACTCGAGAACATGTAAAAAACTAAAAAAAACAAAATCTAAAAACCTACGTGTTGGCTCATGTAATGACTGGAGTATGAATTTCCTACTGCATGTCTTTTAATGTCTATGATGTTTCTTCCAGACATTGTTGACTTCCTCTATGAGAAAATCTTGCCAGGCCTGGAGAAAGATTGTGAAGACCTTGATGACAATGAGCTGAAGGTTGAACAGAAGCAGAGCTTTCGTATATCTGACATTTTTCAGGACATTAATGAGGATGATTGCTGTGACAGTGATGAAGAGAGTGGCCAGAAAGAGGACAACACTTGAACTATGATCACTTGTACTGGATAATTAGACCTTAAAAATGATTCCTTTAATCCACCACACTAAATATTCCACCACTGTAAAGAAAAAGCACATGTTTAAGATGTTTGATAGTTCCTCTTTTATTCTTCTGTTCATACATTTATTTTTGATTAAGCATTGAATAAACAGAATTTGTATTATGCCTTTAAAGATCTTCTGGACAAGGACATTTTTATTTTTCCCATAAGGAGGTAAAACAAGGATGAGTAAGGTAAACAAAGGTGAACAATGGTCAGTCTATCTCAGTTGAGAAATGTTAGGTAGTATGAAGTGTTTGTAGGCAGCTTGAAGCATTTGCATTTTACATTAGATCAAAAGAACACAAACAATCCTGTCTCATTGCCCCCGACAAGCCATTCCATTACATTTTCAAACCAGTCATGGCCCGTTGCAGTGGGTCAGAACTCCAGAAATCATGGTTCCAACCCAGAAACCAGCCTGTGAATGTGGGAGGTTCAAAGCCCTGCTTCACTGTAACAATGGGAGTTCTCTTGTCCCTATTGGCAGGATCCGATTCAATATATTTGACCGCTAAAGTAAGAAAAGACAAGGATGAAGATAAATCATTAACTAATGAAAGCAGCAGCAATGTTGCAAAAAAATTGGGTTTTCTCACCTGAAGTCAAAGTTTCACTTTTTTCATCTTCATTAGCTTCTTTTCCAATCCAAACAAAGACCTACGTGACAATGATTTCAAGCATGAAAGACATCAGATTTCATTTTCTTTATAGAGTGCATTTTTTTGCAAGTGTCAGATAAATACAGGTATACCTGATCCCAGATGTCCAGGATCATGATATCATCTGGAGCCAAGTCTTCCTGGGTCATCTCTCCTGGCACCTCTTCAATCTAGATTGGTACAGAACAAACAAAAATTATGATCTATGAAAGCAGGCATTTCAGTGATCAAGGCTCCAGCATCCCTGTTACCCTGCAGAGGATAAAGCGGCTTGGATAATGCATGGATAGATTTCAGTGGACTATAATTAAATTAAACCACATCTCTTTGGATCAATTTAAGAACAGTGAACATTTTGGAACTCATATTACTACAATCGTGTTTACATTCTTGGCAACATGGAAACTTACAAGGAATAGTCCTGTCTTGTTAGAGCATGCAAACAGCTTAGGAGGATGGGTGTCCATTTTGTTCTTAAGCCTTTCAGAGGTGCGATACTCTGCTTTTCCTCCAAGAGTGCTCCAGAAGTCATCTACGTAGAAATTTGAAAAATATTTGTTCTAGAAGGGTTCTTTTATATTTTAAATACAATGTCAAATAAATGCATTAAAACACTCCTCTACCAATGACTGTACACCCACCACCCTCCGCTCCTTCTGATATCTCTGAAAGGTCCACTCCTAAAATGCTGCCAAGCTTTTTGGCTCCATTCTTTTCTGCATCACTTATACCCTGACCCAACCACAGCATAGAGCCTGAAGGAGTCACCAAAACAAAGGCATCGTTGGAGTTGAGGCTGGAGGCCACAGCGTCAACCTGTTTCAGGCAAAGTGAACAACTTTTGTCCAAGGAGAACCAATTTTGCATACATTTTAAAATGAAGAACAATAGACAAAAACTAATCATACAACGGTACAGCTAAAACACTTTCACTCATGACTCACCTCAACAGCTCGTGTGTGCCCAGCAGTGTTGGCACGCACTTGGAAAAGGCGGACTACAGGAGCTTGTGATTGGCCACCCTCTCGTGAAGTCCCACCCTTGTGCACCACCATTGGTTGCCCACCAAAGATACTCATGAGGTGAAGGGGTTCTTTGCCTTGAATTACTCGCACCTTAATAAACATGCACATTCAAGCTGGTGTTACTGATTTGTTTTGATGGTCTATGTCAAACAATTCTGCTCCAATCCTAATTAAGCACGCCAACCTGCAAATCAAGGTCAGGATTGCTAGAAACCTTCAGGCAAGTGTGTTGGGGCAGTTTGGAGCTAAACGCTGCAGGAGATTAGCCCTCAAGGAGCATGTTTGGACAACTCTGGTCTATAATTTATTAGACTACATAGGGTGACCAAACGTCCTGTTTTCCCAGGACATGTCCTTTTTTCACATGCTGTCCTGGCTGTTTTTTATAAAGTGATGAAAATGTCCTGGTTTTCATTATTTTTCATTGGGCCATTAAGAAAGAAAAAGAGGAAGAAGAAAACTAAATTGTGCCGAGTGTCCTGGTTTTTGATAATCAAAATATGGTCACCCTAGACTACATGTAAAAGGTGAATATTGTAATCATTAAATGCACAAAGCAAGCATCACCTGCACAGCACTTCCACCAAGCTCTGCATCTAGCTGGGCAGCAAGAATGGCAGAAGTTCCTCTTTCATCTTGACTGGACTCTTCCCCCTGCCTGTGGACATAAACAAAATGTAATGAACCTCTGCAGTGATGACTCATCCTATTGACGAACAGAGGCCCAGCCTGGTGGGGCAAAGAGATAATACTCAAAGACCATTGTGTTCTGTTACCCGAGTGTTCTTGTGTAACATGAGCAGACAAAGCCCTTGGCTTAAGACCAACTCCTTAGGCATTCAGTGTTTATTTTCCAGGTTCAGGATTCATAAAGGACTGAATGGAATCCAGAAGCAGGTCTGTAGCTCTTACCATATATATATAATCTGCCCCTGACGTCCCCCATGCCTGTAGGTGTACAGGATGATGTAACTATCTCCTCCAAAGAACTGCCCATAAACGGATGAGTCAACTGGAACCTTGTTTGATCCCTCAATGCGCCAGATCTTTCCAAAGCAATGAAACAAGACAAATTGTCCATTCATTTGTCTACTTAATCACTTGATAGTTGCAATCTGTTACACAACAGCAGAAGATGTTTACCTTTAACTCCCCCTTCCCGTCATCTACCATTCCATGTTGAGCAGCCATTGCCTCTGATTTGTGCAAAGATGATGCATCAAAGGGCACTTTCTTGATCTTGGCAATTCTGTTGGGCACATAGGCTTGTCCCATACCTTTTGTCTGCTCTGTATCATGCCAGAACTTAAAGAACTGTTTGAAAAGAGGAGTCTCTCCATTCTCAGGGATAATCTGGAGCTCAGTGTGTTTAGGATAGCCCATCTGACTTATGAAGTCCTCAGCAGCTTTCATACCTGCACTCCGTTCTTCTTTATTAGCCTCTTTACCTGTTTTATTAAAGAAATAAAGGTTAAGATTTACATTTAGGCATGTCCCAAGATGCAAATTTTGAATACATTTGAATTATCTGCTAAGCTGACCTTTCCAGACAAATATCTTGCCATTGGAACCCTGGTCCAAGATAAAGCAGTCAGTGGACTGCAGTTCACTCTGGGAAAAAGGGTTCTCTTCAGCCACCAAAGTGACAGACATAGTCCCACTGGCATTTGACACCTGAGCAATAATGACCACAAGAATTACCCATTTTGTGGATTTAAGATAATTCCTCAGGGAAAAGCTGAAGTATAGCTTACTGTACCTTGTACAATTTGGCCGACTTCCTGTTGGACGCGTCAGTCTTCGTGTCTTCAGACTGCGCATCAGGAAGATCAGGCTTTGGTCCAAGAATCTGATCAAATATAGTACAGCACTCTCATTCAGAACAAAATACTAAATACTTATGGCGCTTTTCCACTACACAGTACCAGCTCGCCTCGGCTCGGCTCGACTCGACTCGACTCGCCTTTGTTTGGTTTTCCACTGTGTAAAAGTTGTACCTGTACCTGCTTTCGGGTACTTTTTTTTGTACCACCTCCGGCGAGGTTCTAAGCGAGCTGAGACGAGCTAAGGCAATACTAAAATGTGACGTGAAACAATGCCGACTGCTGATTGGTCACAGAGAATCTGCGTCATCATTGCACGCGCCAGATGGAGTATCCAGAATAACCCCGCCATTTTTAAATAGTTTGGCCAGAGATAGTTACTAAACTTACTACTATTATTATGGCAACTCGGAAGAATACGCCGTGGTCAAACGAGGAGGTGCAGACATTCCTTTGTTTGGTTGCCGAAGAGAGGATCCAGCGAGAGCTTGATGGGGCAACGAGGAACGAAATGCGTCGCTATGACGACCGGGTACTATTTGTGGCGGTACTTTCTGCAATGGAAAACGGAGCAAAAAGCGAGCCGAGTCGAGGCGAGCCAAGGCGAGTCGAGCCGAGCTGGTACTGGTAATGGAAAAGCGCCATTAGTAAAGGCTGCAATACACTACATGACTCCCCCCCCCCCCCCAATTTGTAGACTGGAAGAGTCAACGCCAGTTGAGGAAGTCAGCCAGTTTAGTTGGAAGATATAAAAAAATGTTGAAATGTTTGATTTTAGAATTGTTAGTCCGTTGTCTTGAACAATTGAGGCACATGTCTCTATTTGAGTTTGTTGTAGTCTGAACGACTTGAATGTCTAGTAGTGTGATCCTCAGTCAAACAGTGTATGATGGTCAGTTCTGATGCATGTCTAGTGTTTTAAGAGCTGTTCAGATTTTATAAGTTGTGTAGTGTATTCCAGCCTTAAGGCACTAACCTAGATCAAAAATGAGTGAAGGAAACATACTCCTATTATACTAACCGCTAGTATCTTCTCATTCTCCGATCCTTCTTCACATACAAAAAGTTTTGCTCTCCCACAACGCTCATTATCACGAATATCTTTGGAAACATTGGTGGCCTTCAGTCTTTCAAACTGGTTACACTTGGACCCACACCACTGGTATATCTCCTGATGCAAGTATAAGAAATAGCATAAATACATGGAATACAGTATGATAAAATGCAAAATAGAAAAGAAGCAGAACATTAATTCATATCATCTTTCACCTGTCCAAAGTCTAGGATGAAACAATCACCCTGGTTGAAGCTGGCCCAACTCACAGGTACTTCAATGGCCCGGATTACACGTCTGCCACTCACATGGAGAACTCGTTTCACATTTACTGCACCAGAAGCTATGTGTTTGAATCCAGAGGCAACTCCACCTTGCTGAAGAAATAAAAAGCAGTTTGATGAGTAAAATGACATCTGTGGTTTTGTTATGAACTTAGTATCCAAAAACATTTTGTGCATCAAAACATTGTAAATTGAATAACTCTACCTACCATGTACTTAAGGCCTGATTTGAAGTAGCCTACAAAGGTTTTTGACTCATATCCCTGGACCTCTCTGTACTGGATGGGTTTTCCTCCAAGGAAATCATCCATTTGGATGGTGAAGATAGCAGCGGCCCCACTCTCATCCATTGTGCATGCATCACCTGGAGATACCATTTAACAATATTCATAAACAAGTTTTCAATAAAAGTGGTCACAGTGGACAACTTAGATTTACATTAACTACAGTATTACCTATCCAGAAGTGAACGTCATATTGTAGACTCCCAGACTTTTGTTTTAAGGTATTGAGAATGAGGTAGGTATCACCTGTGTAGAAGCCACCATGAAGACTATTAGGAACAGGCACCAAATCCATGTTTTCAATCCTCCATACCTGCAGGCCTGTCTGCTTTCCTGCTTTCTCAAATTCAGGGTGGTACACCATGGTGCTGTTAGAAAAAACAAATAAATTATATACAATAGCCATATTTTGCATACTTGTGTTCCACATGGTCTAATGTTAATAAATTAAATAGAGGAAAGGTGATGTACTTTGTTTCCCATGCAATACATTATCATCAGCTTCCATCAAAAAGAACAAAGGCAGTTCCTGTCTATATGTCTAGATTTTTTTTTCTACATCTCAAAATAGTTCTAATGATTCAACAGTCAAACTGCTCTCCCGGTAATGCCCCAGGCAGAGATTTCCACCCCCACTGGAAAAAAGAAGAACCAGAAAGGGCGGGGTCTGTCTCACACTTACACTTTTACACTTGACACAATAGTACAAGGATAAAGTTAACAAGGTAAAAGTTACCCTGCTGACGTAATTCATATAAAATGCATTTTATTGGTTAATACAGTGATAACATAATTGCAATGCAATTATGATATTATATAAATGTTTATAGAGATGCTGATGTATTTTTTAATACCACTGGGCTACAGCAGATCAGATTGTAATTTAGAATCTCTTGCATTAATTAATGGACAAAATAATAATAATAAAGTAAATGATAATGTATATAAAAATGATTTACTTTTTTGCGCATACACCCAAGATACCTACCCTGAATCAATTACGGCTGCTTACAGAGATGCTTGATGCTTGAGAAAAGTAAATAGTTAATAGCAACATCAGATGCACTGAAAGGTGACTGTATCAGGAAACTATCAGGAATTAATGCTTCTCAATTAACAAAAACATCATCGATAAGAATACAATAGCTTTTTAACTTATAAATATATTATGCATACCTGTTGGGTAAATCTTCCTTTTAAGGTATTATCAGCAGAAGAGTCTGAGGTCGAGGCGACAGCTGTATATTTGAGAAGTGAGCTTCCGCAAGTACTGGGAGTAACATCTTCAGGTGTGTTTCATTTGCATATGAAACCCCTCCTCTTACTAGAAACAGCTCTTCGTCTTCAAATGCGTTTCTTTCAGGAAAAAAAAAATGTAGTGTGGAGTTTGCGGTTTAATATGAAATAACACAAGTATAATATAATTTATGTTTAAGCGCACATTACATGTTTGCAATGATTTAGTTGTTAATGCGTTTCATCGCATTCGCACCAGTCAAAATAAAGCACCAAGGTGCCATTACCCATATGACCATGAAGGTTTAAAATGGCGTGTAATACGTTTTTCTTAGTCTGGCATTCATGCACGGGGCAAATTACATATCATGAAACATAGCTAAAATGCACAATATAATATAAATAAAACCATTACCCAGTCCAACACATACTACAATTAAAAGTAAAAAAACAAAAACATTTATATTTTATTTATAACATTTAAAACGTGGCGACTTGCCTCGACCTGACATTTCTGGAAAAATACACTTTTTGGCTTTCTGACAAGAAAGCCAAACGTCTTCGCTTTTCTCTGTTGGACAGTCATTTTAGTAAAAGCTGTTGATTAAATACCAGTTGATCTCATTTTTTTTTTTTTTTTTTTTTTTAGGAACTGACGATTCTTTTCCTCATCCATTTTTGAGGATATAGAGTAGAGGTGTGTGTGTGTGTGTGTGTGTGTCAGTTTTATCTTCAGTAGAGGTGAGTGTATGTACTATTGTTGCTCCAGTAGAAGTCGCTGCTCTCACTGTTTTCATCGCAGCAGCACTTTTAGAGGAAGAAAGCGACCGGACGGCTCACACTCGCCGATAACCAACCCAAACCTCCAAAAACCACTTGAATTTATATTTTAGGTAAAGGATACACACATCTCAAGATAATTTTCACCATATAGCTTTTCAGAATTTCTTGATACTAACGACTGACACTGTTTTTAACGCTTTACGTGCCTAATTTTTGGGAGTAGCTGTTAGCTTTAGCATCTCTGGGTTTGGTTCAGCGCGAGGTCAGCTAACGCTAACTAGCCCTTTAATGCTCAACATTAACACATTTATCGTCTAAAATACGACACGGAAACGCAAGGGTCGCTGACATACGGGTTAAAACATTACTTTGAAGTGATTTATATTAGGTGTGGTCTAGCTTATAGCTGTGAAACCTTTGACAGGAGTGTATGATTAGCTGATTAGTCAGTCATGGCGCTGGCTGATTGTAGTGCTGCAGCAGTGTTTATGCTGCTTTAGCTCAGTGTCACGTTACTCTTTCCCTGTATACATTTCAATTTACATAACTATCGTGCTTGCTTGTCACCTATACATCATTATTATCCTGAATTTGCTTTGTCCTGATCTCTCACTACCGAGGTTTGGTGATCTTATGTTGGAAAAGGGAAATGTGCCTTTTAGACAATAGTAGGACATTCGGTCAGCTGAGCGCTGCTTGATTACTGTCAGTGTGGTTTCATTTTGTTGTTGTGAATGCTGTATATTTTATTTATTTCGACTGTTTATGAGTTGGTGTCATTTTAAGCTTTGTATAATTTTTCTTTCTACTTTCCAGTGCAAAAATGACGACTGCACCATATAACTATTCCTATATTTTCAAATATATCATTATTGGTAAGTGAGCAGTTTGTTTAACACAATACACTGTTTTATCTATCTATCTATCTATCTATCTATCTATCTATCTATCTATCTATCTATCTATCTATCTATCTATCTATCTATCTATCTATCTATCTATGTTATAGATGTTCCATAATATTTAATTATTTTTTGGACGTTTGGTTTGGCTCATATATGTGTGTGATTATTTGTTGTTTATAGGTGACATGGGGGTTGGAAAGTCATGTTTACTCCACCAGTTCACAGAAAAGAAATGTAAGTGCCAAAGGTGGTATGAATTACACTAAAACAAGGAATCCTTAAAGGTGCAGTAAGCGATTTTCTGATTTTTTTAAATCACCAAAAAAAAAAGAAAAAAAAAAGGATCACACCCCTATCTTGATGCCTCCGCCCCCACATTAATGTACACGCAATGCAACACAGGCAACGGTTATGGTGGAATCTGCTGTGCCTGCCGCCTGAGGGTATGATGTCATCAATAAGTAAAAGCAATTAGTGTTACTATGATAATTCAGGTCGAATGTCTAACTGTTATTTAGCTCCTCTACTCCTTAAATTGCAGTCATCCCTTCCAACCCCAAAAAAACAAACAGTTTTCATGAACAGGTCCCTGCATAACACCATGGTCCAAACTAAGTAACTCGTATATTAAAAAAATGTGACAGGATTAAGGGGGTATAGCTATCACTAATAGGGGAACCAAAAGAAAAAATATATTATTCATTCATTCATATATTAGGAGTGTTATCTCACTTTTCGGACACACTTTGGGAGCCAATGCTTGAAACAGGCGGTGGAGGAGGTTTAGACTTTCCAGGCTTATAATAATAATAATGCGAATGAACAAACAAGCGAAGATGACACATGAGTATATATTCAAGCAAAAGACATCATATCTTAGTTCTGTGAAACAACAAAACCAACGTTATTCGTGTATCGTGAAGAAATAAAGCAACCTCGGCATCTGTTTTCAGGCCTTCCCGCACCTTAAGGTCTCTCCAGCGTTAGAAAGCTTCTGTTATTAACACGGGTCCCACCTCTTGTCTGATCGTAACCCTTCTTTTAAAAGTTATATTCCCCTGGCCATTTCCTCTTTTGTATTTTTTCTGCCATCTCTCTTTCTAATGTCTGTCTTGTGCACTGAGCTCTCTCTCCTCCCCCATCATGAGTGGATACGCCCCCTACTGCTGATTGTCTACAAGTGTGTTTTGGTGCTGTTTCCGATCCACTTTTCAACAGCATTTTTCAAAATCGCTTGCTGCACCTGCTTATTGAGGCACAGGCTAATACTAAATACGTTTGTGTCATGATACTGATCATTTTGATAAAGTTCTCGTCTGTATGCAAAGGAAAAACATCTCATATTTTAGTACATCGTTGTCATGTAAACATGACCTTTAATATCTTCACTTGCAAGAATAAAAAAAAAACCCTCAAATCTTTTATTTTGGCGGAGAACTGTAGAGAAGCCCTTAAAGTTTTGTGACAGGTCACTAACAATTCCAATTACAAATCTAGTTGAAATGCTACAATCATCTGTCCACAAAAATAGGAGATTACACTAATGTGAAAAAGCATAACTGCCGCATGTTGCATACCCAAATCCATGTTAAATTCAGAGCACATGCAAAGATGGAGTTTGCAGCATTTACTGTGAACCGAGCTGCTCTGAGATACTGAAAACTCCAGATCATGAGCTATTTTTGTGTAAGAACACAGTGCCACGCTCTGAAACACGCAGTGCAACAGAGAGATGTATAGATATTGCAAAAAAAAGAGTATTGAAAGATAATTTTAGTGTCTGTGTATCAAAAAATATATATTTTTGACCACATATGTTATCCTTTTTATGCTTATGTCCTTATTTTAAACAAGGTGGCTTCAAAAAAAGTTCTTCATTACTTGAATAACTTCTACTTTATCCTTTTAGTTATGGCTGACTGTCCTCATACAATTGGTGTTGAGTTTGGCACACGGATAATTGAAGTGAGCGGGCAGAAGGTGAAGCTTCAGATTTGGGACACGGCAGGGCAGGAGAGATTCCGTGCTGTCACACGCAGCTACTACAGAGGAGCCGCCGGGGCCCTCATGGTGTATGACATCACCAGGTAGACCAATATTCCTACTCTGATCTCATTGAGGTTACATGTTCATTGTTATCTTTTGAACTGCTCTTTTTATTATTTAAGCATCAAGGAAAATATGTGATTCTTGTTGTTTTTTGCAGGCGAAGCACGTACAACCACCTCAGCAGCTGGCTGACTGATGCCAGGAATCTCACCAACCCCAATACTGTAAGTTCTTTCCGTTTTAACTATAACTTAAGCCCAAACTTAGTACTTTTTATTAGAGCCCGACCGATATGGATTTTTGGGGGCCGATACCGATAAAAAAAAAAAGCCAGATACCGATATATCGGCCGATATTATTTATGTGTATATTATACAGTAGCAATATTATGTATGTGTATTATAGTACAGTACCAGTCAAAAGTTTGGACACACTTTCCTATTGGTGTGTACTTTTGATGGGTACTGTATATAGAATACACAGTATAAATAGAATAAATATATAAACGTTTTGCAATGATCAGTCAAATGTGGTGATCAAACACTTGTGTGACAAAGATATGTAATGGAGACAGGGTGAATGATAGAATGAGAATGATACATTTGAGCTGTAACCAAACTAGTTTGCATTGCATGTTATATTATATTATAAATACTGTTGCATAATCTTCACTAACGACTTTGTCTTTTAATTTAGTCACGTTATATAAAACATAACTTGTATCAATAAATATATCAAAATTGTCACTGACAAAACCTTATTATTCAATTCAAATGTATTTGTATAGCGCTTTTCACAATACATACAGTGCCTTGCGAAAGTATTCGGCCCCCTTGAACTTTTCGACCGTTTGCCACATTTCAGGCTTCAAACATAAAGATATAAAACTGTAATTTTTTTGTGAAGAATCACCAACAAGTGGGACATAATCATGAAGTGGAACGAAATTTATTGGATATTTCAAACTTTTTTAACAAATAAAAAACTGAAAAATTGGGCGTGCAAAATTATTCAGCCCACTTAAGTTAATACTTTGTAGCGCCACCTTTTGCTGCGATTACAGCTGTAAGTCGCTTGGGGTATGTCTCTATCAGTTTTGCACATCGAGAGACTGAAATTTTTGCCCATTCCTCCTTGCAAAACAGCTCGAGCTCAGTGAGGTTGGATGGAGAGCGTTTGTGAACAGCAGTTTTCAGTTCTTTCCACAGATTCTCGATTGGATTCAGGTCTGGACTTTGACTTGGCCATTCTAACACCTGGATTTGTTTATTTGTGAACCATTCCATTGTAGATTTTGCTTTATGTTTTGGATCATTGTCTTGTTGGACGACAAATCTCCGTCCCAGTCTCAGGTCTTTTGCAGACTCCATCAGGTTTTCTTCCAGAATGGTCCTGTATTTGGCTCCATCCATCTTCCCATCAATTTTAACCATCTTCCCTGTCCCTGCTGAAGAAAAGCAGGCCCAAACCATGATGCTGCCACCACCATGTTTGACAGTGGGGATGGTGTGTTCAGGGTGATGAGCTGTGTTGCTTTTACGCCAAACATAACGTTTTGCATTGTTGTCAAAAAGTTCGATTTTGGTTTCATCTGACCAGAGCACCTTCTTCCACATGTTTGGTGTGTCTCCCAGGTGGCTTGTGGCAAACTTTAAACAACACTTTTTATGGATATCTTTAAGAAATGGCTTTCTTCTTGCCACTCTTCCATAAAGGCCAGATTTGTGCAGTATACGACTGATTGTTGTCCTATGGACAGAGTCTCCCACCTCAGCTGTAGATCTCTGCAGTTCATCCAGAGTGATCATGGGCCTCTTGGCTGCATCTCTGATCAGTCTTCTCCTTGTATGAGCTGAAAGTTTAGAGGGACGGCCGGGTCTTGGTAGATTTGCAGTGGTCTGATACTCCTTCCATTTCAATATTATCGCTTGCACAGTGCTCCTTGGGATGTTTATAGCTTGGGAAATCTTTCTGTATCCAAATCCGGCTTTAAACTTCTCCACAACAGTATCTCGGACCTGCCTGGTGTGTTCCTTGTTCTTCATGATGCTCTCTGTGCTTTAAACGGACCTCTGAGACTATCACAGAGCAGGTGCATTTATACGGAGACTTGATTACACACAGGTGGATTCTATTTATCATCATTAGTCATTTAGGTCAACATTGGATCATTCAGAGATCCTCACTGAACTTCTGGAGAGAGTTTGCTGCACTGATAGTAAAGGGGCTGAATAATTTTGCTCGCCCAATTTTTCAGTTTTTTATTTGTTAAAAAAGTTTGAAATATCCAATAAATTTCTTTCCACTTCATGATTGTGTCCCACCTGTTGTTGAGTCTTCACAAAAAATTACAGTTTTATATATTTATGTTTGAAGCCTGAAATGTGGCAAAAGGTCGAAAAGTTCAAGGGGGCCGAATAGTTTCGCAAGGCACTGTATTGTTTCAAAGCAGCTTTACAGAAAGTGCATTTCAGAAATGTACATAGAAAAAATACAGTTAGTTAATCATGTATTAATTTAATGTAAAATATTATCTTCTATTTTTAGTCTTAATTCCTCTAATCTCTACCAGTGGAGGAAGAACTCATATTTTTACTAAAGTAAAATTAAGAATATCATAATGAAAACGTTTTTAATTACATATGTACAGTACTTTTATACTATTTTTAAATTAGTAAGCAAAATGTACTAAACGTGAAACAGTGTTATATAATTATATAAATTATTGGAATATTGCTTGATGTTGTAGCGTAGCGTTATAGGCAGAATGAGCTTCAACACTGTCTACACCGGACGCGGCCGTTATTGCTCGCGTCGCAACAGCTGTTTACCCTAGACGCGAAAAAGAGCCCGTTACAAAGCAGAATGGGGCATCAGTTTACTATCGGAGATTTGTCGCTCGCGCATTGCATTTTAATCAATGTTTCATCAACATGGATTTAATAAATAAGAAGTAAATATAGCAGACAATATAATCAGGACTTCTCAGCTGCTATTATTATGGCGCTTTTCCACTGCTGGTACGGCTCGGTACGGCTCAGTACAGTTCAGCTCGGCGCGACACGGTTCGGCTCGCTTCGCTTTTCCACTGCTGGTACGACTCTGCTCGGCACGGCACGGCACGGCTCGGCTCGCTTTAGCTCGGTTTGCTTTTCCACTGCAGTTAGTACCGCTTCAAAGTGGGTGGGATTATAGTCGGACTGTAATAGTTTATCCGCTCCTCGGCAACCAACGAGACGAACGTCTGCACTTCGTCCACTGACCACATTCAGCCATTTCTTTTTTTATGGAAGTTTTCTTTCTTTCTTTTTTCTTCAAGCAAGTCAAGCAAGTAGTTTTAAAACATGTGCTACAGCGGTGGCTATTGTCTACTGGCTATTTAAATCGAGTGGGTTTAGTGTCTCGTGTCGCAAATACAATGACGCTGATAGTGACGATTCTGTCTGTCTGACCAATCAGTGATCTGTAGTGTTTTCACGTCACATTTAGTATCGGTACGGTACGCTTGGAACCTCAACAGAGCAGGTACCATTTAAAGCGAGCCGTACCGTACCGTACCATGCAGTGGAAAAGCGCCAAAGCGTGCCGTACCGAACCGAACCGTACCGTTCCATGCAGTGGAAAAGCGCCATTAGTTCCCTAGTCATCACAAGCTCACACAATAGGCTACGTGACAGAGAAATCAATTCTGTGAATTACACTGCGCAAATCAAAAGTAATAGGCTACTACCCACCGGATGAAGAAGGGTTGGCTCTCAACAGAACATAAAATATTCATTTTATTTTATTTTTCGTGTTCGCATTTATGAGGAAAAAACAACGGATGTGACAAGCTCTGAAAGCGGCACTAAAAGACTTTCAAAGATAGGCTACCTCAAACAGAAAGTCAAAGCCTTTCATTAAAGTGAATTTCGTTTTGTATTAATTGTATCTTAATTTTAATCAATGTTTCATCAACCAATTGCCTGGATTTAATAAATAAGAAGTAAATATAGCAGACAATAGATAATCTCGACACGGAGGCGCCAGCGCGTGAACTGCAATTCGTCTCATAAATTAACCGAAACTCAGCATATAGACCTGAGAAATATATCGATATTGAAATGTCTACTTTTAAACAGAACAATTCAAAACGAAAGACAGACTGCTCTCTGCTGTAATCCGTATGAAATGTGCATTTCTCTCTGGCGTGTTCACTGAAGATCGCGAGTCAGCGTCGTCAACTTTGCAGCGACACTGACTGAAAACACTTGTTTATTAAAGGTGCTCTAAGCGATGTCGCGCGTTTTTTAGGCCAAAACGTTTTTTGTCACATACAGCAAACATCTCCTCACTATCCGCTGGCTGCCTGTCCCCCGAACACACTGTAAAAAAACGCGATCTCTGTAGACAGCCCAGGCTCCACAAACAGCAACAAAAACAAACTGCGGCAACCCGCTCCCCGAAACATAACAAACTGTTCCAGCCAATGACCGACAAGAAGGGTTTGGGGGGTTAGTGTGCGCATTAGGGCTGGGCGGTATGACGGTATATATCGTTACCGCGGTAGAAAATGTCAACCGTAACAGATTTTTTTATTCCGTGTATACCGCGAAATGCAAATAAGTGGGCGTGGTTAACTCGCGTGCAACGTGCGTAAGACTGAAACACTGAGAATTGTAAAAAGAAACACGGAGAAAGCAGATCAAGAGGATCCACAAAGGAATTACATTTTCTAAAGGGTTGTTGTTGTTGTTAACGTGATATTTTACTGATGCAGACGTGATGTTGTTGTTAACGTGGCATTTTACTGATGCAGAAGACGCGCGCGTGCACACGCACTGAGGGAGCGCGGTGTTCACCGGGCTATGGTCAAATAATGACGCAGTTACAAGGTGTGTATAATTTAAACTAGGCTACTTAGTCAACACTAACAGTAGCTGCTGTTCGGTTTTCAAACTGCTGCTCCCCTGCTAGTCACTTCTGAACTTCTATTGATTAAAGCGCAGGGTGACGGGTTGCCAGATATCACAAAAAGAGCAAAACAAGCCCCTTAAAAACGCAGTGTAGCCTAAGCAGACATGGCAAAAATGTACCGGGGAACACATTTAAACAACTAGTATTACTATCCTACAAAATTAAAAGGAAGTAACTAATTTATCATGAATAGAATAGTTCAATATAAAATATTCAGATATTATAAACTGATTGATGAAGTAAAGCATAACATGAGATTGAAAAATTATTCAGAAACACTTTATTTAAAGTTTAATTGCTCCTATGAGTTGTATTTAATATCAATCAGTTGGGGGCAGTTTATCTAAAAGTTGATGAGTGTGTTTTGTTTATATTTAGCTATCTAAATAGTTTACCAAATAAATAATTTACCAAATAAGAGAAAAAGAAAACAATGTGAAGTACTTTTCATTTCTAAAGTATTTGCGTTTATTTATTATACAAAGCCCTTTTTGTCGATTTTTCGAGAATAACTACATATATAAATATCTATATCGTGAAATATATCGTTACCGTGAAATAAAATGAGTCATACCGTGAAATAGAATTTTGGTCATACCGCCCACCCCTAGTGCGCATGAGGAGGAGGGAGGGTCTAGCTAGCCTCCGTTTTGTTTGACAATAGTTCCAACGTCAAAAAGAAGTGACGTCACCCAGGATCGCTTAGAGAACCTTTAATAAACAATTAAAATGTCTCCTTGCTATATTTGATGTAGGCCTACTCACAATCATAACTTTTGCCAGTTCTTTGTGACAGCTTTTATGTGCTTTATTGCCACCGCCACCCTTACATGAATCACGGCACCCAGATTTTTTTTAAATATTCATTTATCGGCCATTATAAATCCCGATACCGATAGTTAGGAAAATGCCTAATATCGGCCCGCCGATATATCGGTCTGGCTCTACTTTTTATTTTAACTGCAGATGTGGTTTACATGAAGAGCAAACTTGAGCCTGTGTAATGCTGCGTTCACACCAAACGTGAATAGAGCATCTGGCGCGAGTGATTTCCATGTTAAGTCAATGTAAAGACGCGTATACGCGCGTCTGGAGGTCCTGCGGCGCGAATGAGGCATTTAGCGCGGCACGGTGGAATTCGCGTCTGACGCCCGAGTTGAAAAATCTGAACTTTGCCGTCAGTTTGCGCCGCGTTAACCAAACCAACAAACCTGCTTGCTGCTGTCACGTGATGAAGTGACGTGATAAACGGGGACAGGCCCGCTTTTCAGTTTATAATGATATTTTATATTTTTGGCCTCAATAAATTATTTTGTAATATGACTATATGCCTGGTGTGGTTCTAATGCACAACAAAGAAAATATTTTATCACATAACTTGATTTCAATATATGAGACATATTCGTTTCGTATTGAATGCTATTTATTCCATATCTAATCTAGATTATTTGAAACATTATTCTAATGTAAAGACAACCAACATACTTTAAGTGCATAAGAACATAGTTCGTCTGGACAGTGTTGTGTGAGAAAAAAAAACACAGGACAGGTTAATCACTTTTGGAGGCTGGCTCAATTTATCATCAAAACAAAAATAAATGGCAGATTAGGTGGGCGAGGGTGATCTTCACTTCGATGTGGGACAACAGGTCATCAAACTGGGACAGGACAGAAGGTACCGCTGAAAGCGGCCGTCATCCAGGCGCAGCTCCTGGAGCAAATGATCAAACTCGCCAAACTCGGAACGCCTCCGGAGGGTCTGGCGGACTCAAGTTCTGTTCTGCTCTCCAGAGAAAATACAGAGCGGTGACTCTCGATGAATGCTCAATCAACATCAGCCATCTTGCAAACAGACAACCGCCTAGCACTTGCCCCTCCCACAAGAAGCGGATTTCGCTTCAGACGCACGTCAATTTCGCTTCAAACTTTTGCTTTTTACGCGCATCCTATTCGCTCTGGACGCGTGAATGGATTCAAAATGTGCAAGCGTCCAACTAGATTTGACGCTCTATTCGCGTTTGGTGGGAACGCAGCATAAGACAATCTAAATATTTCCTCAGGTGATCATTCTAATTGGTAACAAAGCAGACCTAGAAGCCCAGCGTGATGTCACATATGAAGAGGCTAAGCAGTTTGCTGAAGAAAACGGTGAGGTGGTTGTAATTTAAATTATTTGTGTGATTATTTAAATGATTATTAATATCTTTAAAGAATCTTTAAACTTAAAAATAAAATGCAAAAAATAATCACCCAAAATCATATTTCTTTCTATTTTCTCTCAAAAACTATTGTTTTTATTGAAGAATATACAGTTCTGTAATATAGAACAAAACTTCTGGAATAACAAAACGACATGGGGTAAATTTAATATATTAAATTAAATGTTAATTCATTGTACTTTGTTGTGGGGGTGGGATGGTTTTTAGTCCATTTATTGTTGTTGTTAACTGAATAGCTCAGATCAAAATGATAAAGTGGTCCACTGTTGAATTGACTTCAAGGCTAATACATTGCCAGACATCCCACACTCACTACAATCTTTTCAAACAGGTTTGTTATTCCTTGAGGCAAGCGCAAAAACGTAAGTGGCCTTTAGGGCATCTTCCATTAGAGCGTATGCACGTAATTTGTCAAATTCCCAGTGTGATATTTCAGTTCTCTTTAGCATCTCTGCATATGTCCATCCAACAGAGGTGAGAATGTGGAGGATGCTTTCCTTGAAGCCGCAAAGAAGATCTACCAGAACATTCAAGACGGCAGCCTGGACCTGAACGCGGCCGAGTCAGGGGTCCAGCACAAGCCTACCGCCCCCCAGGGTGGGCGGCTCAGCAGTGATGCACAGCCTCAGAAGGAGGGCTGCAGCTGTTAATGACCATGGAGACTTCACTCTCTCTGTTTCTCTATTCCTTCCCCTCCCAGATCCCACCTCTGACTCCCTCTGTATCTAAAAGTCTTTCCCCTTCCAGTATGTTTGCTCATGGAGACTGGGGCCAGATGGCTCTGCGTGATGGAGGTGTAACATAATTCATGCTCTCTTCTTTCCCACCTTCACTTCTCCTCTGTATTCCCTCACTTGTTTTGCTTGTTTCTCATACACACACACCCCAGTGCTCCCATTAAGCACTCAAGGGAGGACGGCTCCTCCACTGAACACTAATCCTGAAGAGAGAAGATGATTGTCGATAAACTGAAGAAATGCTGGGTTTATCCTTTACAGATGTGATGTGCGTAACTATAAACTAAACATCTCATGTACAGGGGGGCTGTCTGAATACTAGAGTAATGTAAATGAAATGGAAATATTGGCAAACGTTATTCGTGTTGAAGTGATCAGGAGAACATGCATCAACATTGTATGTAACATTTTGTTAAAAATCTAAAACTGAAATATTGTATTCTGTTTTAAATTAGCTGTTTTTGCAGTTCACATCCAATCACCAAATATTTATCCCTGTTTGTACCTATTCAGGAAATAATATACATGTACTATACAAGATTAGTATTGTTTTGAGAAGAATCTCAATGGAAGGTCCATTGTAAAAAAAAAAAAAAAAAAATCAGCTATGGCTTTGGTCGTTTCAGACAGTTATTTTAACTTAGTAACTGTTATAGTAATATATTGAAGAGGCTGGGACACATTTTAGGTCCTGAAGAATGTTTTCCGCACTTTGCAGTTTTGATTTGGTTTTTTCCGAGGGCCTGGAGCTGGTTTTGTGTTAAGATCTTAAGCCCATACAAGGTTTCAGATCCCCTTTCGGCTGTTTTTGAGCATCTGTAAATATTTTAACATCACAGTAGCTTAAGAAACAGACCAGCTGGAGAAACATGTACCGAATATTCAGGCCCTGCAAATTGTCATCATATCAAGATATTCATATTGTTTTTACATTAATAATTTCAGTTGCCTTATGCTTTGCTTCTGTTCACTCTGATGTGCTGCCCTTTTTATTCATAATCCTCATGTAGCTTTTATCAAAAGAATTCCAGCGATTCACTTGTAATAGAGATTTTGCCTTTTCAAAACATTCCATTAAATTGATTTCCAAACACTGGTCATCTTTTGCGCTGAGCTGAGTTTCTTGAAGGTTGCTTAAGCATGATGCACGATACGACTGCTTTTACAGGCATCATGGTTTTCCCCCAATCCAAAGGGAGTTCATAAAGCCCTACAATTTATGAATATGTAACGAACAGGCCACCACAGCATGAGAAATATCATTGTGGGAAAATTCAGCCCTGATCTGATTACTACAGCATCTTGAAAAAACAACTTAAAATGGGCTGATGCGACAACCAGCAGTTTTTTTTTTCCATAGATGCACATTTGCAGTGGACCGATAAAAAGGCAAAAACATGCACTCCAAATATGATTTTTCTATAAAAATTTGTGTATTACGGTAGATTTTAGATGTTTTGTAAACCGAAAATCCCTTTTTAATTTGTGTTTACTGTCTTGCTTTTTTCACATCTTAATGACATCTGCAAAAATTAATCTTCTGCTCTTGAACTCAAGTATGTCTTCTGACTGTAAGTGACTTTAATTTGTAATTATGTTAATAAAGACAATACTTTAGACTGAGGTTTTGTCCACATATACAATTGATCGAACTGTATATGAGCAATAATGAGAGACATCTTGGAACATGAGAAACTGGACAAGAAATGAGGCTATTGATTGTATTGCACACTCGCTTTAATTAAAGTATTTGATTTGAGACAAACTATATTAAGAGAAGTGCTGTAATAAATACTCTGCATATCATGGTTTTGAATACAAGATCATTTTTGACAAATGAAACTCATTCGTTCCAGAGCACAACCTGTTTTTGTGCATCACATGATACCATCACATATACCTGCATCTGTTTCAACTGTAAACACTAACAAAACATTCACAAGGCATTGCCTACTTTTAACATGAACAAAAGGCACGTAACAGTCATTAATAATTTCATAAAGCAACAACAAATCAGAGGTAGAGAATGAACTTTCACCATGTTATTTTTTACCTCAAGTGTCAGTTTCCTTGTTTGTATGTGGAAACTGAAACCCATTTTTTTTTGTGCTGTAGAGAAGGTTTAAACATCCAGCCTCTGCCCTAACCAAAAGAGGAAGTCATTGAGATGGTCTTGTGGATTTGTCTGTGTGCCCTTTTCTTGCAGATGCAGGGTTTAATCGAACAGCTCCTCTGGATTCATCTGTACTCCTGTAACCACCTGCTTCCATAATCCGATAAAGAAAGATAGTTTCTTCTTTAAATTCTGCATGGTTAATATTCGGTATATGCAATTATTTGCTTATGTCAATACAGAAGTGCCAGTGGACCATTGTTTCTGATCCCTTACATCGGTATGTTTTGGCAGAGCTTCCAGGTCACTCAAATAAGAGGAGTCTTTGGAAGAGTTGCCAAGGAGCTGGTCCAGTTTGTCAACATGTCTGCGCAGACCCTGAATGCTGCCTTCAGTCTGCAGTCTGCGCTGACTCAGAGCCTCTTGCTGGGAGAACATGCGACTGCGCAGTTGAACCTGGAAACAGACAGACACTCGAATCAGCCCTAAGATTTAAAATATTATCAGATAAAATCTAAATCAATGTCTAATAATATAAAGTGTGTTACCTTATCACAGGGCCAACGTCCTGCAGAGTTTAACTCCAACCTGCCCCAACACACTTGCTTAGACATTTCTAGTAATCCTGAAGACTTTGGTTAGCTGGTTCAGGTGTGCTTAATTAGGATTGGAGCTAAATTCTGCAGGATAGTGGCCCTCAAAGATCAGGGGCCTCGTGTAAAAAAAAAAAAAAAACGTCCCTAGATTTCATCCTAAAAGTGTGCGTAGATTTCCCTTTATAAAACCTCCAGCCAACTCCTACCCAAAATAACCATATATGGGGCTTACAGCGCCTCGTTTTACTATGCATAACTTCATCTGCATATGATTTTTATGCATATTCCATTCACATGATACCATGTTTAACACAAGATGAGATAAGAACCATGTGATCAGATGTATATCAGATGAGTTTAAATCATTCTGTTTATTTGATTACTTTTAATGAAAAGAGCGGTCTAGAGTGTCCTTACGGTGCGCACATATTTACGCCTAGTTTATTTTTATAAATCCTGATATGTGTGTGGAAAATTGTGTACGCACTACACACATTTCAATGCCTTTTTTTGTGCGTAAGCAAATTTTATACATCAGGCCCCAGGATTGGACACCCCGACTTATCAAATGATCAAGATATTGGCTGTGTCCCCATTCAATGGCTGCATCCTTCTAAGGACTCGGTCCAACCTTCGAAGCCGTGGCCTTTTAAGTCTGAGCGTTTTTTAATGGGGCGGTCTGGCTTACGGAGGATTGTTCTTGTCGCCTAGCAACTGTGACAGCAGCTATTGACGAGCGGCAGTAACGTTTGTACTGGACCTTTTTTTAAGTTACCGTATATTAAACTGCCAAAAAAAAAAAAAAAATCACAACCTGTTTAAATATGTTCTCCTTGATCCATTTGTGTACATAATAAAGAGTATAAATAAACTATATTAAATCACATCTATATTATTCGAGTAAGTAGAACCCAAAACCCAAACAATTCTGTCGTCACCAGCGCGATGAATTCTGGGGTATGCAAGGCCGCGAAAGGTCCATCTGTTTTATCTTTTCACGGGAAACGAAGGGCACGTTTTGAGGCCGCATTTGAAGGAGCCTTCGAAATGGGACAGTCTTTGTCGCGCCGTGGTCATGCAATCGGCCTTCAAAGGATGCAGCCTCAGAATTGGGACAGCAATTGAGATCCTGATTAACTTAACTGTACCTTCAGGTGGTCCTCCTGCTGCCTTAGTCTTTCCCTCAGTGCTTCCCCTCGCCACTGTTCATCCTGTTTGTAGAAAATGATCAACATTAGCCCTGTTCATTGCTTCTCAACTCCTGATTAACAAAACACAGTTTACAAATGTGCCAGGTTTGAAACTGCAGAAGCAGAAAGAGACCCACCAGTCATATGAGCTACTTTTTGGTGCTTTATCGTTTTTGGAGCTCCCTCTGTGTTCCATGGATAGAATAATCAGACTTTTCAGTAATAAAATGCTGAGTAAATGTTACTTAAGAGCAGTGGTTCTCAACCTTTTTCACTCTAAGGCCCCCTTCTAATATCCACAACAATATCCTAATTTTATTTTCAAAACTTATTTTAAACTAAGTCCTTGTTTCTGTAAATTAAACAGAAACGTGACTATTTCAGTTGTTTGTGATTTGCGGCATTGGGATAAAGGATAAGGATTTTAAATATATATATATATATATATATATATATATATATATATACAGTATATATTTAAAATCCTTATCCTTTATCCCAATGCCGTAAATCACAAACAACTGAAATAGTCACGTAAATTAATTGGTTAAAAAGAGTGCATTTAATAATTTAATTATTTTTAATTTACAGAAACAAGGACTTAGTATAAAATAAGTTTTGATATATATATATATATTTTTTTTTTACTCAATTTGTACCCGATAAAATATTTTAAAGTTCAACTAGTAAACTAGTAAAAAATGCATTATACATAAGATTGCCCACTGTGTTTTAAGATTTTATTAATTTACCAGAGTTTTCCAGGTGTACAAGTCACATTTTAGGCTTCCTCATACAGTAAATGCAGGTTTACCAAGACAGTGGTTCTTCAAGGAACAATTCAGTTAAAGCGATGGTTTGCCCCAAAAAACTTTCATCATTTATTCTTCCGTGGAACTTATTTTAAAGAATGTTCGTAACCAAACAGTTCTGGTTCCTATTTACTTCCATTGTTTTTTTTTTTACATATAATTGAAGTCAATGGGAACCAAAACTGTTTGGTTACCAACAATCTTCAAAATATCTTCTTTTATGTTCAGCAGAAGAAAGAAAAGTATACAGGTTTGTAACGAGGGTGAGTAAATTATGACAGAGTTTGAATTTTTCCATTATTTTAAATCATTTAATTCATCATGAGGCCTTCTATATGTTTCCAGAGGCTCCCTAGTAGGTCCCGGCCCCTGATTCTGAACCACAGCTTTAGAGTAATCTGTGCACTTTTACACCACTATCTCCCATTCTAACACACTTGTTTAAGAGGTGCATATGAAAAGCCTCACCTTAGTGTTGTATGCTGGATTCCCCAAGGAGAGCGTAACACTAGGATGATTCTCTTTCAGGCTGTCTGTGTCTGAGGAGGCGCTAGAGGGCGACTCCAGCTCCCTCACCCCACTGTCAATCTCCACTTTCATCTGTGACCTCACAGAGCGCACGCTGTCCTTAATCTCACATAGCCGAGAAACTCGTTCCTCTTGGCCCTGCAGCTGAGAGAGGCACATGACAGTCATTCATCTTTCTCATATCTCCCTGATAACCATGCACAGTAACATCACATGTGCTGCAAAAATAGTTACAGCCCAAACAAGTAGAACAAGTACAACTAATACGTTTATCTGCAACAGATCTTTAACAGTAAACAGATGTGGTGAGTTACAATGCTATTTTCTGTTTGTACCATGTCTTTGAGGCAGAGTAGCTCTAGGGAAATTGTGCTGAGCTGTTCCTGCAGCGTTCTGGCTTGTTTATGGTTTTCTTGAGCAACTTTTTCCACAGTCAGCAGGTCCCTTTGGAGCCGCACACGCTCCTGAAACAAGCTCAAGTTAGTCTGTCGGCTATAAACGATAGTAAAACTTACAGCAGGAGCTGACTAAAGACCTCGTAAAATGAAGGAATGTTAAAATAAAGCCAGCACAATATACCCATTCACAAAGGTATCATACTTACAGTCTAAAGGCCCGTTCACACCAAGAACGATAACTATAAAAATAACGATAAAGATATAGTTCTAAAAATCGTTCTCAATATTTAACGGGCTTAGTACTACTGGATTACTGCTTTCTGAAATAAGTCTTTTCAACTTGGGTTAAATTGAGCTTGATAATCTCAAAATTGCCAAATATAATCTGAATGAAGTTTATAGTGTTGTTATTAATAACTAAAACTATGAAAAATAAAGCTGAAATAAAATGTAAAAATTAGAT